GGGTGGGATAAGGCAGATAGTACAGTCGCTCAGGGTGAGATAGGGCAGATAGTACTGTGGCTCGGGGTGGGATAGGGCAGATAGTACAGTCGCTCAGGATGGGATAGGGCAGATAGTACATTCGCTCAGGATGGGATAGGGCAGATAGTACCCTTGCTCAGGGTGGGATAGGGCAGATAGTACCGTGGCTCAGGGTGGGATAGGGCAGATAGTACTGTGGCTCAGGGTGAGATAGGGCAGATAGTACTGTGGCTCAGGGTGGGATAGGGCAGATAGTACTCTGGCTGAGGGTGGGATAGGGCAGATAGTACTGTGGCTCAGGGTGAGATAGGGCAGATAGTACTGTGGCTCAGGGTGGGATAGGGCAGATAGTACTGTGGGTCAGGGTGAGATAGGGCAGATAGTACTGTGGCTCAGGGTGAAATAGGGCAGAGAGTACTGTGGCTCAGGATGGAATAGGGCAGATAGTACTGTGGCTGAGGGTGGGATAGGGCAGATAGTAATGTGGCTCAGGGTGAGATAGGGCAGATAGTACTGTGGCTCAGGGTGGCATTGGGCAGATAGTACTGTGACTCAGGGTGAGATAGGGCAGATAGTACTGTGGCTCAGGGTGGGATAGGGCAGATAGTACTGTGGCTCAGGGTGGGATAGGGCAGATAGTACTGTGGCTCAGGGTGGGATAGGGCAGATAGTACTGTGGCTCAGGGTGAGATAGGGCAGATAGTACTGTGGCTCAGGGTGGGATAGGGCAGATAGTACCCTTGCTCAGGGTGGGATAGGGCAGATAGTACTGTGGCTCAGGGTGAAATAGGGCAGATAGTACTGTGGCTCAGGGTGGGATAGGGCAGATAGTACTGTGGCTCAGGGTGAGATAGGGCAGATAGTACTGTGGCTCAGGGTGGGATAGGGCAGATGGTACTGTAATGGAATTAGAATCGGGCAGATGTTGCACAACAGCTCTAGGGGTGGGGATGGGCAGATGGTACCTTTGCTCAGGAGTGGGATAGACTTGATGGTACTACTTAGCTCAAGGTAGAATAGGAACCCAGAATAGTACTACCTGGCAAGCTCCAAGGGTAGAATAAGCAGATAGTACTTTTCTATGGCTCAGGGTGAAATAGGACAGATAGTACTGTGGCTCAGGGTGGCATAGGGCAGATAGTACTGTGGCTCAGGATGGGATAGGGCAGATAGTACTGTGGCTCAGGGTGAGATAGGGCAGATAGTGCTGTGGCTCAGGGTGGGATAGGGCAGATAGTACTGTGACTCAGGGTGAGATAGGGCAGATAGTACTGTGGCTTGGGGTGGGATAGGGCAGATAGTACTGTGGCTTGGGGTGGGATAGGGCAGATAGTACTTTGGCTCAGGGTGAAATAGAGCAGATAGTACTGTGGCTCAGGGTGGCATAGGGCAGATAGTACTGTGGCTCGAGGTGGGATAGGGCAGATAGTACTGTGGCTCAGGTTGGGATAGGGCAGATAGTACAGTCGCTCAGGGTGGGATAGGGCAGATAGTACAGTCGCTCAGTGTAGGATAGGGCAGATAGTCAGATAGTTAGTGGGAACTATTTGGATTTTCTTGACGCATGATGTCCTAATGCAAAAATTGAGGATGTCCTGCATTGTTTAATGGAGTCAATCTCAGGGACATTGCAGGAAGCGCCTCTAGAGGCAGTTTTAGCAATGTAACCATTGCAGTTTCTCTGAAACATGTTTTACATTGCTGGGTTAAGGGGGACGTTGCACCTAGACCGCCTCAATGAGAGGAAGTAACCAGGGTGCCTATTGTGTGCCTTGAAGGCCAATAAAGCCGAAACGTTAATCATTTGATAAGTCAGATATGCTGTCAGTTTGGCTACTCTGGACGAAATTGTAAATTCGCTTTAAATTCACCTAAAATTCTCACTTTAATAAATATCCCTGTTATTGTTTGTTTTTGATAGAAGTAAACATTCTCAGCAGCTGATAGAAATTCCGAATGAGCTAATTTAAATATGATATTAATCACGGAGCAACTTATATCAAGCCATGTAAATTCCTCCCATCACGCTTAACATTTGATAAATTAATAATTTTTTCGCTTATTAAAATGTATGTGTTTATATTTATTTGTGATATCAAATTCAAAATGAAGAAAACATATTCCAGTGTATTTTCTCTTTGGAATTTATGTTAATTCACACAGTTTTGTTCAATGACGCTGCTAACCTGGTTTTATCATTTGGAGACCACACACGTTGGCTTGTTTACACTCAGAAATACACAGTCTTCTCACATCATGTGGTCCGGCAGAGTGATGATATATACAGAGGTCTGGGCTCCCACGGGAAGTATAAGGAAATATTTAACATGCTTATTAATACGTGCTGTATATACATATATATATTAGAGAATAAACAAAGAGCTCTGATTAAAGAAAGGCTGATATTTAATTACAATGTATCCTTATATGTAGCATTTCCAAATACGTATATATTTACATGCCCCAGCCCTCCAGGATTTCAATAACAGATGTGCCTAACTCCTTTGCCGGGATTAATGGGAAACTCCAGACCCCTAAAGCACTTAATCTTACTGAAAAGCTTTATGTGTGAAGAGTGTGCCCTCTTTTTTTTATTCTACAAAATGTGTAGATTTCAAGAAATTGGCACTCTTATAAATGAACCTAGTCAAACTCTCCTAGCTGTCAAACAGACAACGGGTCCTGTTACTTCCTAGTTTGTTTAGCTCAGTGGAGCTAAACTCAAGAGGCAGCAATTGCCCAGAGCACCTGCTATGCAAAGACGTCTCAGTGAGCTGCATTAGTAAGTCTGTGATTGGACAACCACAGAAAGTCTGGGCAGGCTTAGTAGAGGAGGGCTTGCAAAGGCTGCAGAGAAGAGATCTGCAGAATATGCCATCTATTTTAAGATATAACCCCAATAAAAAAAGCATAACTGAATACATGCAAGTTTTAACTTGGGGTATATCTACTAAGTAGTGATTTTAATATATTTAGAATTTGGGCACTCAAGTGTCCCTTTAAGAATACCTGTGCAGTAGCATAGTTGTAGGTGTCCCTTACCTTTAAGAATACTGTAGCACCATTCAGCTGAGTTTCTAACGATTCCCTGACTTGATGAATCTAAGCTATGTGATGACTAGTTAAGGTCAAGGAGGAGTTTGAACACAGTCAGAAATAATTCTCCCCACCCTTCCTCTCACAAATTCAGGTGTTAGCAGCTTGTCCATCTAATCTTATTATAGCTCAGTTGATAGTACAATGGGATCCATGCTCTTTGAAGACCAGAGACAGACAGGTTGACTTGTCTTGTCTAAAGTGTGGGCAGTTGTGAGCAGTTTATCCAGGCCAAGCTATATCATTCACCTCTTTCTTTTAAGCTGTCCTACCCCTCATTATGTTTGCAAATCTGCTAAACAAACAGTTACCTGATCTAACCGGCGTTCTTGTGCCCAGTGTTAGCACCAGTACCAGCTCCCGTAACAGTAAATGTCTACGTTTCCAGCAGATAGAGTCCTTCTACAGCAAAGAACATCTGGCCTAGCAGTAAACCAGGTGCTGGTCAAAATGCTTCCATAACCAAAGCTCCTTCTAAAGTTTCACTTAGGGTGTTTGTGAAAATTATTCTTAGTTTCCAGAGGAGAGGAAGATATAGAGACGTTGCCCGTCGTCAAAAGAGGACTACGTCTTTGTACTGTAGCCCAGCTTTACCCCATGGCCACACTATGTCTACACACCATGACTTGGCTTTATAAACGCCTCACTCAGAACCAATCTGGTGGTCATTAACAGAATTATTTAATTGTTTCTTAAATCATTTGTTGCTGGTGAGGGACTGAAAACAGATATCGGTTCCCACCATTAGTAAAAGGAATTAATGATGAAATAAAGGAGTGTCGCCCCAATCAAATGAGCATTTTTACTGACGGTATATTCACACCGGTGGAAAATGAAATAGAATAAAATCTATCTTTCATCTGTCTGTCTGTCAGCATGCTGTAACACATACGCCCAATATATACATTGTTTGAGTTGAATTTCTGTCTAATGGGGAATAAATAGTCCAGTGTGTGGGCCGAGTGAATATTTATTTATTGTTTGGTTTGAATTCAATATGTCTGTGTTAAATTAAAACCATGCACAGCCACATACCACATGTAGGCATTGATGTACACAGACAAATACATGTTTACCCTGTGTATACACAAACTGTATGGGGATTCTGCGCTCTGACCCAAATGCAGATGTCTCACAAAGCATTTTTATCCAGCGGGAGAGACTTGCATTGTGGGTGGCTATAAAGGATCTTCAGGTCAGCGAAGTTTAACCACTAACACCAATCCGTCCTCTCAAATAAAAATAGCAAGCGTTCTGTGCCCTTACAGGCAGCAGTAAACTAAACACACATGTTGGGAGCACAGGACCCTGGATCGTGAGAAGGGCTTTCATCTGTCGTTGGCAGCTTCGGGAAAAGACATGAACCTTAATGCAGAACCACACCGCATTGACATTATTTATGAACGGACATTAGCAATTATTTCCCTCATTACGCTCCCATGGAGCCTGGACGTTTGATGGGGTAAAGGGTCACGGAAACACTACTTTTTATTTCAACACCCGCCAAAGGCACCCAGAGAGGAAAAAATGCTGAATTTATGTTTTTGATGTTTTATAGGATATTTATCCCAGTAAACAAGATGTGTTTCATGACTGAGCTGAGGAACGCGTGTCTTTATTTTGCTTGCTTATCCAAAGATGTTGATTTTTCCTATAATTCCCCGTCCCTCAACCCCCAGTCACATCAACGTGGGAAGTGGATGCTATGTTGACATCTGCAGAGTCCCGTCTTCATGTCCTGCTGTCATCTGCTGGAATTAAAGTACTTCAAGGTCCAGCAATT